TAATCATTAACATAACAGCTTTATATGTATATTAGTGTAAATATTTGTGAATGTATGTAGGTTATCCAGAAGTTAAAAGAAAGGAGATGCAAGAACAAGAGCTGAATGAAATAAAAGTTTGCAGTTCAACTTTGGTCCAGTGGGACTAGAGACTGGGTACACAGGAGTGGTGGCCAGAGCTGGCACTAAGCAAGCACTGCCTGCAACAGGGACATCACCTTCCAATGGAGACGGATTGAGAGACAGAAGGGAGATAGCTAACATTCAATAAGGGGTTTTTTTTTGGTTTTGCAAGGTAACTGTTAACAGGCAATAAAATGAAATGCTGAAGTCTTGGCACAGTGTTTTATATATTATGATCCTCCTGGCAGAGATCATTGTTTGCATATGGTCCTTTCTTTTATTTCATAATCCTCAGGAGCGACATCTATAGTCTGAGTCCCTTTGTTCTCTGCTGCACTTCATGCTGGTCATCAAACAGTTAACTTCTATTTTTTTTTCAGGAGTCCCATTTCACTTCTGCCAGAATCAATGTTAAAATTCTAATTGCACAAGCGAGCGAGCCCATGGGCCAGATGGATATTTGGTATCAAAACATCTGAAAGGCTCTTTCTGCAATAAAGAGCTATATGAAGTATTCGCTCTAAAGACAAATACCAATCTCTTGTCTCCACAGCATTTGTAATCAATATTATGTTACAGGTTGATTAAATACCAAGATATTAGAATGGTGAATCTCAAAGTGTAGTTTTGACTTTTCTTTGTTGCTCAAAAACAACTGTAGAAATAGTTTAGAGAAATGTTGACAATACCAGAAAACAACAAAATCAAGATAACATCATAGTTACTATTTCTGAATGTGCGAACTTGGCAAGGGGGAAACTCTCATCATTGGAACAGTACCTGGCAGATGCTGTAGGTGGGAAGAATATCATAACCTTATGAGTTAAATAGTTTGCCCTTTTTTATCCTGCGCTCTGTGAAAGTAGATAGCGGAACGTGTGGAAAAATTTATATGTATAGCTTCTTAGACTAGCATCCAGTGTGTGTATAAAAGGTGGGTGCCTCTCAAAAAGCTGGTGGTATCCATGGGAAGCCAAATAGAAAGGTTGAAACCTGTTGTCTGCACAGATATCTACTAAGGGGTGTGTCTGGTACGGGAAACTCTAGATCTGATGCATTTGACACTGTGACAAAAATAGGTAAGCAGGAGAACAAAGGACATGTGAAGAGGCATGGCTAGACCAGCCGTAATTTGGAGCAGTAGCAGGTGGCTTGGCCCTCTTGTCACTGGATTCCTTTTATTTCTTTAGGCTTTCTGTCTTTGGCAATATGTATTATATTCATGTCTATCCAAACAGGAGTGATAAAGTTTGGGACCAGTGGGAGAAGGAGAAGGCAGAGAGAACCTGGCTCCATGCTCTAACCATAAAAAATTTGGGCCATCAAAATGCTCAGCAGTGCCAAATCAAAGGTGCACCTAACTCTGTTTTTTGATTCTGACGTGGATGTCTTGGTACATGGGGGAGAAAAATACATGAAATGAGTGAAGAGTGCACCCTCTGTGAGCCAACGGTAAGCAGACTTAGGGGAATGCTGCATCAGAAACTGAGCCAGTTGGACCCCCACTTTCTCCTGTCTCTACACTGGCTTCCTCACTCTTTCACTTACCAGAGCTCTTCTAGTCAGTCCTCTTTTCATTGTCTTGTTACCAAAGTTTAGGTTTGTTCTCTGGGGGGCATTTTTGGTTTTGTTTTATTTTATTAAAAAAGGTTTGAGAGTTTGTTTGTTCTAATAAGCTGGAGCTGTAATTGGGAAATGGGTTAAGCTTGCTTCCAATTAAGATAATTGATGTGAAATACCCAATTGCATCCTGAGACAGGGGGAGAAGTAAGTTCCCCAGCTGAGCTGTAGAAAAGATCAGCTTTGTCTAACAATGTAGGTAGAAGCAGATGTTTAGAAAAGCATGTAAAAGCAATCAGGAGGGGATTTATTCATTTGTTTATTAATTAAGATGCATGCATGAGCAGACAGCTAGCAAAATTCAGAGTTAAGAAAGGCAAAGTTCCAGCAGGGGGTACAAGGAAAGCTGTATACAGGTGATTGTTGGTTTCAGAGTTGTTTTTTGTTTTTTTTTTTTTTTTTTTTTTTTTTTTTTTTGTTTTGTTTTGTTTTGTTTTTTTTTTTTTTTAATAAAGGAGGAACCAGCCCAAAGTTTTTTGGAAGATTCAGGTCAGCATGTCCCCTTGCATATAGTCTTCCTGACGGTTCCCCTGATCCTACTAAGTTTTTCCTCTTTTGCTTAAATAAGTAAGATACATGCTAAGTTTCTATCAGGCTGTAAGAATCTCCACAGCTAGTAAAAATATACGTGATTTTGTGCACTCTGTGGTGTTTCAAGGTTAAAAAATGCACAAGTACTAGAGTGATTCTGAAATAGTGAGTGACAGAGGACTTCTGACAATGTTTGTGTTTGCTTTCTAATTTGTGGAGTTAGTTTTTTTGATTGGAGAGACAGAGATGCTTGGGGATCTGATGTAAGGACAGACAGCTGCTGCTGAACCTGTTGATGTGATTAGTTTGGAGAAAATAAAAGGTAGAGGGTGGGTATTTGCTAGATAGCTAGCTCTTCTAAAAACAGGGGAAGATGTACTAATTTTTGTAAGAAAGAGGAAAGGTTTCAGAAGGCTTTGGATAAGAATATGTACTTTAAAAAAAAAAAAAAAAAACAAAACAGAAACAAACCAAAAAGTCTGTACCTTATGCGAAATCTTGGATTTAATTTACAGGATTAGATGTAACACTATCCGAGATTAAAATTGGAAAAACCAGCCCTGAATTCACTTCACCGCTCATGTAAGTGATCATTCTTTCAATTTTTATGCAAACATTAAAGCATTGATTAAGTGTATTGTTCTTTCCTTTGGTTTTCTTGTTTGAGCTGTCCTTGAAATTCAACAAGGACTGGTTAAACTTTTTTAAACTAAGAGTCTGCAGGCTTTAGTGGTATGTCTAGCTAGCTTGTCTCTGTGATGACTTCAGTAGTACTAATGAAAGATGAATATTGGGGAATTTGTGGTTTGTGTGTTACTTGTTGGGGGGCAGATATTTTACATAGATAAACCTGGTAAATTAATGTCTGAGAATCAGATATGTTTTCTGGCTGAAATGCTAGCCTTTAGTTGACTTTTCTTTGGGTCTGACGTGTGCTTTGATATCGTAAATCAAATAAGAATATAAGAAATATGGCAGATTCTTCTTTCATGTAAATAAAAGCGGTAGCGTCCTTCTGCTCTGCTTCTGGCACTCAGACCCTCAGTACTCATGGAGGGTGGCAGAGCCTGGACCGCCTCTCAGACAAAGATTCCTGCTGCTGCTACTGTCTTTGTTTAGAAGGTGGAAAGCTCGAGCTGATGCTTTGTGAAATATCATAGGACTGCTCTAATAATAGAGCCAAGAGATGGGGTAACCCCAACCTTTCTATGCCTCCACCTGCAAGTGTGTGTCCTTACTGGAGGGTGCGGAGGGGAAGCAGATAAATCCTCCCTGTACGGTGCAGTGCTTAGTTGCTGTGATTTAGCGTTCAGATAATGAAAGAGTTAAAAATAAACACTTTTAATTACTATGTATTTATAGCCTTATGATCTGCTATAGAGTGTCTAAAACCACTGGTTTCTTGGTCTGTTCATACATGACTTTTATTCTGGAGGTCCACCAAAGACTGCAGGTGGATGTTTAGGTTAATTCCCCTCATTGGTTACAAAAGTTACTTCTTTCATAAACCACAGGCCAGTTTCAGTGTTAAACTGATTGCTTTTTGTGGTTTATTCTAATGCTTTTGATGGAAGTACTGCTTTGCTGTGACCTTTTCCACTCTTTTCTTTGTGCTTGTATTTAGGAAGACTTTTAAACATGATGGAATTTCTGGAGGTGTAGACAGATACTTTATTAGGGAAGTGTTTAAAAAGAGTAATTTTCCCTGGGGGTTGTTCTCCTTATGTAAAAAGATATTGCAAACGACATTTGGAGTCTCCATAAGTGAACCAAGACTTTAGATCTTTTTTGTACCTCATACAATGAGAGGTAAATAACTGAACAGTCTCACTATAAATTATATTATCTGTATATGCTTCGGGGAAGGTACTCCACATGCTTTGACAAAGCTCTTGATGACTTCCTGGGAAACCTTGGCTAGTCAAAATTTGTCTTGTGATCATAGACCAATATCCTCCTCATAATATGCATCACTCAGTGATGCCTTCTGAAATTATATCACTTTTTTGGGAGGCCTCACTGATCACAGAATAGTGATCCTACTGCTCTTTCAGCATGTTTCAAGCCAGACACTTAAAAATGTGAGTCAATCTACCCCTGTGTCTTAGTGACAGCAGAATCTTTTCAAAGGCTCATCTTTATGATAGCATTATAAACACAAAACACAGATTAAGAGAATTGGGAAAAGAAAAAAAAAAAAACCAAGTTAGAAAAACCAATTTATTAAGTAGTATCATATAAATAACTTGTTACAAAAATCAATTTGCAAAAAGGCAAATTCACTTTGTCTGTGATAAATTGTTGTTCAAATTGCTTTCTCATTAAATCCTTAAATTTCATTCTGTCCTTCCCCCCCCCCCAAAAAAAAAAAAAAAATAAGCCAGTACAGTGAACAGGAAATATAAGGGAGAGAGAGCACGCTTGCCATCTGACCATAACAAATTTCCCATCCACGCTGCAGAAGAGGTAATCGTTCCAGCATGGGTCCCTTTGCAACACATCGAATCTTCTAGATGTAAATCTCTTGGGTGCCAGAATCTTACTGCCTGAAAACGTCCCTCTGGGCTGAGCAGTGGCCAGATCCATCCGATGCTGAGGCATCCTTGGCACAACTAGGGGATGACATCGCCAGAGACTGTGCGGCTGGAGCATGCCAGCAAGTAAATCTTCCCAGGTGGTGGCATCAGTTTCAATTTATGCTTGGAAGTATTTTTAATTAAAAAAAATCAATACCGAAAAGCATTTATTTTAAGGGTTTAAAAATCACAAATTGCAACAGGAGTTTGCCAGATTGATTTTGCTCAGTAACACAGTTAAGATGCACATAGCATTTATTATAAGGCCTTTCTTTTAAGTTTAATTTTTCAAAGCAATGAAAGTAATCACAGAATTAAAACAGTACAGTGATTCTGAAGAGTTATTTATGTGTCAAAATCCAGAACAATTTTGTGTTTGCAGTGTTCTTTGTTGTGTTTACCTGAATGCTTAATAATTCTATACATTTTTTTCTTTAATAAACACTAAAGTAATAGATCATAGAAAACTAAAAGCTTATAGAAAGTGTCTCCAGGTATATTTACATAAATAGTGCAGTCTCATAGGAAAGGTCAAAAGCCCATGGGCGTGGAAAGGATTTCTCTATATCCTGGCCTTATGCCTTATTTGTCAAATCGACTTTGTGGAAGGAGAAATCAAATGATAGCAGTTTGTTGTTTTTTTTTTTTTTTTTTTTTTTTTTTTTCCTCCCCTCCCGCCCCCAAAAGCAAGATACACATGCAGAGGGGAAAAAAAAAACAAACAACAAACAAACAAACAAAAAAAAACAAAACAAAAAAACCAAAACAGGTTCTGTAAAAACTCCTGTGAAATCCAGTAACTATGCATAATATGACAGCTTTGTGGCATTTAAGTGCCATGGGCCTGCCTTGCATAGCACTGATTACCTCTCCCCTACCCCCCATGCAATTCATTTTCTGTTCTTCCTGGAACTTACAGTTCTCTGACTCTTGTACTCCCTGCAACCCCAGCCATGGCTTTCGGATACCGACTGCTGAATTCTATGAACTGTTGGGAAAAGTGTTTAGTGTATGACAAACACAGGTCTGGGCTGAAAAATGTTATATTGCAAAATTATGAGCAGGACCAAGATTGATTCAGCTGTGCCTAAATAAAACGACTGAGGGAAGAGACTGGCATTAAAACATTGCATTGCGTGCTGTGATTTTTTCCCTCCTGGAGCAATGCATGAGCCTGTAGACATACAATATGCTTTTGTTCCCTTTCTTTAAGTACAGAAACAATCTTTAAGAAAACAAGTCTTTCTGAAGATTAAACTGAAAATAAGAAATGTTGTGCCTTTGACATCTATTGGAGGAGGCTGATGTTTCACAGGTCTAGAGAGGTTGGAAAAAACCCTGCCTTTCACAACTTACGACATAGTTCAAAATTATTGGAAGTAGCATAATGAGTGTTAATTTGTCAGCCCTCATTTGACAGGGGACCTCAGACTGCAGTGTTAGTTTAACCACAAATGGACAGGGGATGGCAGTATCCAGTTGGGACAGGGTTCTTCTGAAACACTTCAATACTACTTATAGACAAAGGAAATTTCAGGGAGATTTAAAACAGATGGTGGCAGGAAGAACTAACACGATGGTGTTCACGGAGAGTTACCTGCTCAGAATTACTGTCCATATTTCACCCTGCAGAAGGACATCATGATAGGTCTGCTGCAGAAATTAACACATTTTAATAATAATTGTGACAAAGGGACTGTCTTTCCTAGGGATCTGCATGGAAATGGCCTGGATTTGGTTGGTCTGAAAAAGATGATCTTTCTTCCTATACATGTAAATCTCCCTCTGGCTGCTCTAGGAAACCTTCAAGTGTTAAAAGTGACTGTGCACTGTAGGCCCTGCTTAACGTGGATAATTCTGGTTTTGAAACAAGGCCAGCTTCGAGTGTTCATTATTTGCCTTCATCTTCATACTGTTCCTATGTAGACCTGCATTCCCGAAGCCATTTCTTCCTGCTCTATTTCTTTATGACAGTTCCGCTTTTTATGGTACTACAAATATTCGGTTAGTTGGGTTTTGTGGGATATTTTGTTTGGTTTGTGACAGACAAATGGAAATGTTGTGACTTGTAATGTAGCCTGCTACTTCCAAAACTAGATAATTTGAAAGTTGACCCTCGCATTCTCAATTAACAGCTAGGAAATACCTGTCCATAGAATGAAGTAAGACCTGACAACTAATAAAATGAAAATGTCAGAAAAATATATCTGTTTCTTAAGACAAGTTTAGAAAATACCAGTGTTGGTACAGGTGGAGAGGAGTTCTACTCAGAATCTTTCCAGGCATTTTTTTTTACCAGCAGTAAATGAAAAACAGAGACAACTTGTTTTCCTCATGATTAGATGCATCTCTGTCTACATCAGGCTTGGGAACACATCCCAGTCCTGTGGTACTGTCAGTAGAACCCTGTGGAAATGCCCAAATTCCCTTGTCCAGAGCTCACTGCAAGTTCCTGCCTCAGCTCAATTCCAAGTGCTTGTCTATACAGAGAGATGTCCTGTCACAACTGCATTGGAGGCATGTGCTGCCGTGTCTCCCCATACTGGTGCTGCTGTGGGATAGAATCAGTTTTAACTTGAAGTAATAATTCTTCTGGACTAAAAAAAAATAATTTTTCTTGAATAAAGCGTCTGTTTTGGGAGCTGGGATGAAGTAGCTATACTAGAAACCTTATTCCATTTCAGGTGTAGAGATATTATTGTTCTGAAGTGCCAAGGTTGGAGAAGTCTCCCATGTAAACATGCCCCTGTTGCTTGTTAACTCCACTAAAAGCCTGGTTAGATCAGATGCTTTTCCAAATTAAAAGCCAACTACATTGCTTATCTCTCTGCCTGGCTCAGCTAAACTTCCTAATAATATTTCTTCTTCTCAGTTGTGACTATAAGAAGAGCAGGCTTAAAACAGCCTTGAAACCCACTTCATAGCCCATAGTGTAATACTTGTTTATCTATAAATGACAATTCTACCACTGTGTGAAAGCACTGTTAAATACTCATTTCTATCATCTAGCACGCTGGCATGCAACAAAGTGCAAATAAATGCTACTGCAAAGTTTTGTATTCACTGCAATATGGCACTTTCAAGATTTCATATGCAGTACTGATATTATAAATTGCACTTTGTGGTACTGCCAAGCAAGAAGAAAAGACAGAATTGAACAATTCTTGCCATATGAGATGCTAAATCTGTCTAATTTGAAGGAAATTATAGACCTTAAAACCTAGATACATAAATAGTAATTTAGATGCAAGTTTGCCTTGAATTTTCTCAGAAGAATTCATTTGCTATTCAGGCACCATATTTGTGGTGAAAAAACATAATTTTATATATAATATATTTACACAATAGGCACGAGTAGCCACTCTATTTACTGTGTCACTCAGTGGACAAGATAAAACCAGCTTTCAATTAAAAGCAGAAAAAAAAAAAAAAAAAAACAAAAAACAAAAAACCCCTTGCGCTCGGGATGCTACTGACAATCACTAAATCAGACAAAATCACTGTACAACCATAGGAAAGTAGTTACAAGGAGATCAGTGATCTTCTTGTCTCACTGTTCCACCCCAAAGAGCGACTCGTGCAAGCTGACTTGCAGGGTGGCCCAGCCCTTTCAGGGTGCAAGGTCTGTCTCCAGTCAAGCCACAGCGGCACCCCCTTCCCCGTGGGCTGGGGATGCCTCTCTGGGCCACATATGTGTGTGGTTTCATATATTTTCACATATTTCTCTGCCATCCCCTCCGCATACAAACCCATTTCCTTGGGGCCTGAGGAGGGGAAGAGACAGCTCCCTGGCTCAGTTTGGGTGCCCAGCTGGACTCAGAGCTGGAGGCGATTTGCCCAAGGTACCCCCGGGCAGTGAAGGGTGAGACGTGGGTGGGTGCTAGGGAGCTGTTTGGAAGAGCCCCCTGAGGGGTATGCCATCGCCACTGACCCTGCAAGGAAAACTGCCTGAAGTGAGGGACCTGTGGCAGGTGGTGCAGAGCATCTGCTGCTCCTTCACAAATCTGAAATCCAGATGGTCCCTCCTGCGTGCCAGAGATGCGTTTCGGACAGGTTGCCTCCTGGATGCTCGGATTTCAAGGCAGCTATGAAGGGCTAGTCTTTCTTAAGCTGTTACCATCTTAAATCACTAAGGGGCCCTCAGGAGGAGAGAATAAAGGGCTGCTTGTGCCATTGCTGTTGTGATGGGTGCAACAGGTTGGCTCGCCCCTAAGTAATGGAGTTGGGCACCTCGCTCTGCTGGGCTGAAGCACCAGGAGAGGCCTCCATCAGGGAGGCTGAAGGCCCAGGGCCCTTTGAAACTCTGGGCTCCTCCATTCTGAAAACCCATCTCTTCTAACACGCTGGACATTTGCAAGCCATTAACTGGCTTGCCCTAAACCTATGCATGTGCAGTGCTCCCCACTGGGAAAGAGTCCTTCCCAGCCCCAGCCAGGTGCCACGGCGTGGCTGGCTCATCCTTTGCACTGTGAGCCGATTCGCAGAACCTGAAATTGTGTCGGCGTGCTTGTAAAAGTCCAATACCTAGAAATCTTACTGCTTGCTTTATTTAACTCTCTAGGAGTAATGAATTCCAGGGATTAATTTTTAATCACTTTTAATTTTCTGTTTATTAACTTTTTTCCCTTCTCTCTTTATTTTTTGGAGTAAATTGGAGTTGTTTAGTTTTCAAACTGATTCACTTAAGATTGTGGGAGGGGGAAAAATAGATCCATGACTGTAGTTCTAGTATTAAATACTGTTTCAAACTGAAATAAATTATATTAGTTATGTATGAGGTATATTAAAAAAAAAAAAAAAATTCCTTTTTTCCTTGGCACAGTGCCATGGGCCGTGTCCCTAATTTGGGACACAGGGCAGCTTTTATCTCCTGGAATTTGATAAAACCCATGGCAGCCCCTCAGGGTTCTCTCCACATAGCCTCTTCTAGAAGGCTGGATTTGAAGAGCAGCAACTGCACGCCTTTGAAAAACCAACAGAAATACTGAGTGGTGCACAAGCTGTAAAGAAAATTGTTTTGGCCTGAGAATATGGCATCTTCCCCCACCCCACCCCTGAACAAAAATTATTTAGCTTGGCAAAGCAGATAAACATGCAGAGAGACTTGTGATTAAATTTTTACCTTCTGGTGAAGTCTTTAACAACCTTGGCTGAGTAGTTTATTTTAAAAATGAGTTATAGTTATAAAATCTGCTTTTCAGGCCACTGGAATGATGATTGATTTTCACTTACTTGTGTATTCAAGGCTTGAATCTGGGCAAAAAAAAAAAAAAAGTAAACAACAACCCAAAAGCATGAGAAATTACTTCCTCTGGCAAAATGCCGGCATTTTCCATCTCTAAAGCATTTTTATGAGTGACTTATATAATTCTTGCAACATCCTGATGAGGTAGGCATTATTTCTCCACTTTACAGATAGCAAAACTGGGCAGAGAGTCAGTCAGGAAGCCACCCTGGGCATTCAGGAAGGGAAGGTCAGAACAAAAAAAGCACTCATTCCTCCTTTGCAGTTGCTTTTTTTGCCCTAAAGGATGGCAGTCACCTTGAGGCTACTACTCCCCTCCTGCGCATGAGAACAAGCAGAATTAGATGGATATGAAAAGCCTGACTCCCACCTCCCCAGCGCAGTGGCCATCACTGAAGTGAAGTGAGGTGGGGGCTGACCAAAGAAGTACGAAGAAAACCACAGTTATCATCTGCTCCTTTCTCCAAGTCATGATCTAATCTGTGGCTGGATTAGATGATTTTCCCTGTATCGCAAGGCAAGTCTGGGTTAGAACTGGAAAACTGTCTAAGAATTAGATATTGGGGCTACTGACCACACACACATGCACACACACACATCTCTCCAGCAATGTTAGGTCAGAAAAATATATACATAGCAATCAATGAACTATATATATATATATATGTGTGTGTGTTAGGATAATTCAATGTATTGGGGGCAATGGTGAGTTCTAGAAAAACACTTTGATCTGAATGACCCTTCTACCTTCCTCATGAGTAAAATGCATGTTTCATGTTCTTTCTCAGCTTACTCTACTTGTATAATAAACCTTCATTCCATCACCACTACTTTTGACTATAATACATAGGGTAAACTAGGGTACCTCATTACATTGGGATGTGCAATACACAATCGACAGAGCAGTCATCTGAGCTGAATAGTCTGAATACAAGTAAAAAGAGCAAGTGAGCTTAAACAGTAATATACTCCAATTTACAATATAAGCAGAACAAGTGAAAATATTGCTCCCCATCTGATCCTTTTTTTCCCCTCCACTACTGCTGTGCCTGTAAGATTGGCTTGGTAAACTGGATGCACTAAAAAATAAGAATTTTGCCTCTTGGAAGCTCATAAAATGATACTAGAAAAAGTTTTCTGACAGCTGATCCACACAGACTGCAGTCATTAGATAATTTGAACGGGTAGAACAGAGAACCCTTTCACACAGCTGTGGAGAAATAGAAAGAAATAGCCACTTCACATATCTCAATGCTGTTTCTGAAAATGAGGAAGGGAAAAAGAAAAGGCAACATATTAAGAGTCTTTGTCACTGTCCATTGCGCCATACATATCTGCCAGCTTTTTAAACCGAGGTCCCCAGTCACTGAGGTAATCGTAGTCCTGATCTCCGTCTGTAGTCACCGACTCCAACGAGCTGAGGGACTCAGCCACAGAACCGTTACCTTCGTATGCGTAGGTTGCTAATGAGTCATATGGGGGTGCTGTTGGATCTGTATCATTTTCCTTTAACCTTTGGTTAATGAAATCTCTGACATCCGTGTTATCTCGTGCTGTTGCAGTCCGCCGTGGCATAAAAAGTGTTTCTGGCACAATGTCTCTGCGTAATTTATTATCATCTATGGCTTCGGGATTCCTCAGCGTGCCGATATCAAACGCCTGGGTGTCTTCCTCTCCACCACCTTCATCATTATAACTGACAATGTTGTCTCTGATGTCTTCTTTGGAAATAATCAAAGGCTCTTTTTTCCGCTGCCGTCTCAGTGCTGCAAACAGCACCACTGTAACTGGAAACAAAACAGGGGAAGAGAAGGGGAAAGATTAATCCCCAACTCCATTAAAACCCAGAAGAAATGCTGTACCTCAGCTCAAAGTTGAAGTTTTAAAAGACATTTTGCAAAACTGCAAACGTGCACATCAGGTTTTCAGACTGTGCTTGCTCTGTCTGTGAGTACCTTGGGAGATGAAATGGCATGGATATGCACTAGAAGAAAGGAGATGTCAAGCTTATAAGAAGACAAGTGGAGTGTCTTTTTGCCAGTAGGCACGTTTTTTGCACAGAGTCATATAGCAATTTTGTTGCCTTCGTAACAGAACTAGTTTCATGAGAGTTAGGAAGGAAAAAATGTTCCTTACCTCAGATGTTCCTTACCTCAGACCCCTGGGACAAGATGCAACTTGTGCTATGGACAAGGCTAGTATCTACTGGGCTATGATAAAAGGTTAGTAAAGCTTCATTTTAAGATAAGTAAATCTAGCCTCTTCTGGAAAAAAGCTTGGAATATGGAAAGGATTTTCAGCCAGCACAAAGTCCAAGTTTTATTAACTAAAATGGCATGTTTTTACAATGTACGTCACCTTAAAAAAAGTACATGGCTTAAATCTTACACGGATGAGGTATGGTAATGGTATTTTTTAATACGCCAGAGGCATGGGATTTCTCAAACAGATACTTTACGCCTTTCATTCTAAAGTGTGTGTGTATACATGTAGTTTTCATCTATTTGGAGGGCAGGAACTTCTTCTGAGGCCCTGATTAAAATTTAAATATTTTTACTCAGTAATGATCCCTGGTATTGTTGGAGAAGTGGGCACAGAGGGTGGAAGGGGATATGTTCAACACTTTATTTCCTTTAGAAGCTAATTTCAGATTTCTTCATTGCATTTTACCTTAAGATGGTAAATGGCTGTATATTTACAAATGAACAGCATCAAGGAGCAGGAATGTATTACTACTATCACTGTTCCTTTGGTAGTCCGAGGGCCACAGTGCACAGTATTTCAGCTCTGCTGTGCAAACTCCAAGAAAAGACACATCCTTGCTGTTTTTATAGTTCTTTCACAGCAAAGCAAAGAAAATCAGAAAACATCTAAGCTCATTGATATGAGATGATGAGGTGGATCAAAATTATCCTTCATATCATCTGTGCTTCTTAAATGGTGTGTGGGTCAAAGCACAGTAACTGTTAAAGACTTCTTTTGGCAGTCCCTTCATCATTTGTAACCTTTTTAAGATCAATGCCAAAGGCTAAGGACATCCCCAACATAAAATTTTAGCCCACTGAAACTTGTCTTAGCTTCCTTCAACAGTCAAAAAGCTGATTATTTATTTTAAAATGAAAAACTTCCCTGCAGGATTGCTTATAGCAAGATGGCATCTGCAGGTGTGCTCAAGCATGTTGTGGAAGAGTCTCCTCCTATTTCTCTCCATTGACTATAGAGGCATCCCAAGAAGACGGGATAAAGTAGAAAAATCCTCTAATTCCTGCTGTGTTTTTTACCAGAGCGATAGTGTGAGTAAGGGAGAACATCTGTTAATATAAGTTGAAAGGAAATAAGTGAGGTGGTGAAATCTTCAGGCTCTCACCTTAATGATGAGGATTTACTTATGGTGTCATGTAAGGGTCTAAATCTGAATGATGTTTCTTTGTGCTGCTGTGCAAAAATGCAGTAAGAGGGAATTCTTTTCCTTAAGAGCATAAAGCTGTGACACTGCATGGGAGGACTGGGGAAAAGATCTGTGTGAGGGAACAGAGATAGCTGGAGAAATTTTGGAGAACTTGAAAAACACAACGTGGATTTTGAATGGGATTCTGGAATAGGAACCAGTAGAACTATCTGAGAAAGCATTGAAGGGTTGTTGACGCATCTCATTAACAAAAAAGGTGTTACTCAGAATATTCAAGGATGAGACTTTGATAATCATGTCACATCTCTAATACTTGGATTTTCTTATTTTGTGCTGAACTTGCAGGCAAAAAATCCCATTAGAAGTTATATGTTAAAGTACATCACCTTTATTTGCATGTCAGGGATTAGCAGTATCTGAGGCCTCCTGATAAGCCTCTAGACTTACTCAAACTGCAAATAAACCTAGCAATTTACAGACACTTTTTGTGGCTGCTAAACTTTAAGTTGTGGTTCAGATCTGCCCAGAGTATTGTTTTTCACTCAGCAGTGGTTGCACATGCAAACCCTGCAACCAGCCTGAAAATAGAAAATTATATAGCTGAGTTAATTGAAAATCTGCTTATGGTGCATGGTGGCGTGAGCAGTAATTGACATAAAGTGCTGCTTAGCACACAGAATCAATTATTTTCGATTGACATAAAACAGGAAATCATTTAATGTCAGATTGATATTAATGAGCACAGTTGTACTAATGAGTGCAAGACTATCTGCAGCATTAAATTTCTTTTTCTGGTAAGGAACTCGATGCAAAGTGAGCTCAGCCCTTAGTGGCAATGATACCATGTATTGAAAATGAATTTAATGGTGAATTAAGGGTAAGATTGTTATTGTGGGAATCTTTTCTGAAAATGGGATAGTGCTTATTTGAGCAAGCCATGACTATATTGTTGAAGTCTGAGAATCACAACATGATCTTTGAGTCATCACTGGAGAGGAAAGTTTTGTTACTAGTAAAGATCTGGATGATTCTGCAGTGGTGATGAGCATGGCCAAGGAAGATACAAGTATGGTAGAAAGAAGTAGAATCACTGGGGAAACATTTTCTCCCCTGCTGGACCCTACTTCTGTAAAATTGGTCTGACTCGCTTCTTTCCTGGCCAGATACTAAAGGTGTCTAATAAGATCTCCCTGAGAACTGCTTGTGTTGTGTTTAGAATTGTCCCCAGATGAACAGACTCTGCCTAATGGCCGAGGGAACAATTTGCTGTACAAGAACCTGAGTGAGAGGAATGTGGAGATGTTGCAAACTGTCCTTATTTTTATACAAAAGTAGGTACTGACCACCCATAAGTGTTGTAGCCAGAGATCTGTATGCCCTCCACACTCAGGATCCAACATCTTCATATTCACAGGTGCCTGGAAGGAAGGACCCTGCAGCTTTTGAGAGAGTACTTTAGTAGCCACCTCATTTCATCATCCTTTTCCAGCAGAACAGAAGCACTGAGACTTGTTTCTCCTCAGTTTAGACGTGGGAAGTTAATTGTTTAAAACTAAATTATCTGGGATCCCTCTGTGCTCAACAGAAAAAGACGGACACCTTAAGAAGGTGATTAGTATGATCCACTTCAGATACCAATAAGGGGATGGGATGAATCCCTCTACAGTCTCTCTACAGGTGCCTGTCTCTTCCTGTTGACCAGAGGGTGGAATCCAGCTGTCTTCTTTCTTGGACATTGCTAACTTTTATATAACTAAGATAAGGTAGGATGTGTTCTATACACAATACCTATAGCAGCCCTCAGAAGAAATACAATAGTATAGATGCAGGATGAGACAATGATGTCTTTGATTTACTCTTGTCCTAGCCTTGGTATAATCACTTGTAGCAATACAAAATAACCATGAAAGGAACAAAATGCCTCTGAGCTACTTACCAAGTAATATAATGATACAGAGAAGAATGGCAATAAGAGCCCCAGTGCTAAGACCAGTAGGATGAATCAAGGCTTCTGCATTACAGGACAACATCTTTCCTTGATGGTCACAAGCACATACTCGAATAGTCACTGTTTCAGTGCTGCTCTGGATAGGGTAGTCATGGTCTGATATTACCACTGGCAAGAAGTAGGTACTCATTTCATGCCGGTTATATCTGGTTTTTCGGGTGAAAATCCCTGCTGTGTTGTCTGGAAACACAAAGCATGCATTAAATCTTCATCTGAAGACTGAAAGCAAGGATGACATAATAAAGAAAAGTCTTCCTAGAAATTCACCTCTGTTGTCCTGTAGTGTAAAGTTTGAGCTGCTGGCTGCTTCGGGAGCTAAGGAGAATGAAAACTGATGTCCACTGTAAGAGTCATCCTTATCAACAGCACTTAATGTTTGTATCAGCTGAAACAACAAGAACAAAATTATCTCCAAAGTCAGTGGACCTTACGTTTATTTATGTACTCTAGGACTGTAAAGCAATCTTATTGTATTCATTTTTTCTTCTGCTTTAAGGCAGCTGATGCTGTTATGGCGATCTTAAGGAAAGATCTTCATGTGCTGCTGATGTTGTTTAGGATCACCATGCTATTGTATCCTGTATCATCAGCCAGTAACATAATGAATTTGAAAGTTGGCAGGAAAATCGTGCTGAATTCAAGAGCAGGCTTGGGTTGATGCCAATCCACAAGGGTAGGAAACCTTTGCATGTGAGATGAGACGTGAGACAGTCCAAGCTGACGGTATATTTATCTACCCAAATCTTATGTCACAGGAACTGTTTGGATGAATCTTCCAAATTATCTGCTACTTTGAACCATTTAATAATAGGACTGGTAGAGTGAGAGTTATCTGGCAGGAAATAGTTATATCACAGACAGGACCTGTAACAGTTATGGACCTGAAACTGTTTTTGAAGGAGACAGTGGAGGTGCCTGAATAAAGCAGAGAATCACAGGATGAAAATGAATCAGAGATAACAAGGTACAGTATAGAAAACAACAGTCTAAAACATACTTTCACATTAGCTCCAAGAATACTAAGTGTAATCAGATACTGTGCAGACACTGTTTAGTTTAATTTTGCAAAACTGACAGTTTGATGCAAGGCAAAGTATACCACTTGATGAAGTGATGCAAGAGTAGTAGCAAAACTCAATTAATTTGGAGTGTTTTCTTAGTACAAGCAGACAACACACCTGTTCTGCCTTTGCATTTTCACAGACGAAGGTCTCATAAAACATGGCAAACTCTGGAGCGTTGTCATTTACATCCAAAACCTTAATGAACACTGGGACACGGCTGCTTTGTTTTGGGTTGTCTGAAATGATAAAACCAGAAAGAATAGAGAACTTATATAGCCCAGCTACCAACTCAGTGCAGAAGAAGAAAAGACTTAAGGGCTCATTGTCTTAATTGTTCTCACTCACAACACTCCACTTATATTATTTTGATTTCTGGGGAATGTGTTATGGGGTGAATTCCATCAAATTGTGCTGTGTTATCATTACTCTGATTCTATGTAAACTACACAGTTAAGATTGGGTAGGATTCCAGGATTTACAAATTCCTTTGAACACTCCAAGTATGATTATGAATGTGTTATATATATATATATATATCAATATAATACTGGAATTAAATTAAATCTATTTATTAGCCTGATACTGTTTGGTGGCAACAAAGTTTCTAGAACATATTCCCTTCCTTAACTCTGAAACAGGAAGACTGAAGAGTCACGAAGATTGGATTGAGTGGTTTTTTCCTCTCCACCAGTTACATATAATATTCTATCTCCGACAAATCATAGAATGGTTTGGGTTGAAAGGGACCTTAAAGATCATCTAGTTCCAGCCTCCCTGCCATGGGCAGGGACACCTTCCCCCAGCCCAGGTTGCTCAAAGCCCCGTCCAACCGGCCTTGAACCCTCCCAGGGAGGGGGCAGCCACAGCTGCTCTGGGCAACCTGGGCCAGTGCCTCACCACCCTCACCGTAAAGAATTTCTTCCTTACTTCTAATCTAAATGGCCCATTTTCCCTACTCTTCATTTTATCACCAACACATCTGGAGAAGCTTTTCTTGTTGCCCTTAACGTCCCTGGCCAGAGGGACATTTCATGACATAGTTACTTAAACTACCATGATTACCATTATGCTATATAAATAGTAACTGCAACTGTCATCACAGATACTGTCTCATCTGTTGTGAACTGATTTGGCTGATATTCTAGAGTTAACACTGAAATGTAACAGCTGAAGAACATAAGCACTATATAGAATCTGCAGATCCCCAGATATAAACATGGGTTTTTTTCCCTATAAGGACTGTATTAGTCCCAAGAGATTGAATTTGACAAGGATATTCCTCAGCATAAAATACTGATGAAAATAGTGTAATCTTTCTAGATAAAAATGAAAATATTTGGAAATACACCACATTGTATAGACCATTCCTTTTCCTATTGGGGCAATACAGGCTTTGGTCATGAAGATAAGAAAATGAGGAAGAAAGGCAACAGGCAGCAACCGTGACTAGGAGCCATGAGTGGTGAAATAGGCAAGATTCTGAGGCAAGGTGTCACATCATAACAATCATCAACTCCTAAGAGGTACATCTGCCCCCAAACCAATTAGTCATCACCAGTCAAAAAGAAAGCAAGAGGCATTGCCAGGAGTTGATGTGTGTCCTTTGTGCTCCATATCACACAAAAAATTACCTACGCCAGGCCACTCATACATACTCACCTCAATGTCTGGGAGTATGTGGGAATGTGAGAAAGTGAAATCTGTGAGGGAATGATTGTGATTAAAATTAGTTTCATTTAAAATAAATACCTCTCTCCTCCCTTTCATGAGGGCTTACACCGAGTTTTGTTAAGTTAATTTCCTACCCATATGGTATATTAATGCATTTTAAGCTATGATTCAAGTGAAAAAAATAAGCAATAAAATATAGCAGATCTAAGACTCTGTATGCTTCTACAAGCATTCATTATAGTAGCTTGTTGAATTAGGCTTTAATAAAAGTCCTATTACTGTGTTTATCGTACTTTTATAAATTTGAAAATGCCTTCTCCAAAATTGGCACTGTATATTTGTATTACAGAGCTCAGTCATTTGGACAAAATATTGTGCTTTAAAGCTCCACAGTCCCCTTGAAGTTAATATGATTCCATTAGGCATAAACCACTTTCTAATATGAACCATTGGGCTAAATTCATTCAATGTATAAAATAACAGTTTATGTATAATATAGACTAGGCTGAATTCTATGCTAAAATGCATCAATATAAATGTTGAATTTTCCTAATAGGCAGAAATCAAAGGTACTCATTTGAAGTCTCATGACTATTGGCAAGACTATTTTATAAGGGCATACCTTTCTAACAAATGCATTCAAATATATTGGCAAATGTGTTCCTTCTCCTCTCATGAATTACAATTGTTTTCTTTCCTGCTTTTTGAAACATAAGCTACATATTTTCATTTTACTTCTGGGTGCTTAAGATTTTCACAATTTAAAATGATTCTGTAATGAATAGAAGCTTCATAAAATCTCTGTGCTTTATGGACATGGGCCTTTTTCCTGATTTAATGGAAATTAAATTTAGTTGAAATATACATATACATCTTTAAGTCTTTTTTTGTCATCTTTCAAATTATTTTTGCAAATTAATTGATGTAGGTTAATTTATTTGAATTATCCTTTGATTACTGCTGGGCTCCGTCTCCACAAAAAAGCTCCATGGGTTCAACAAATTGCTTAAATCTATTCATCTCTATAGTGATATGTTTTCTGCTGAGCCAGCAACCAAACTCAAAGTTTTTGTTTTTGGAATACAGACTCAAAGTCCTGCCGATGTTTGATTTACCCTTAAGTGTTAAGTAAAGAATACTTAAAAATACTTTGGGAATTATTTCCAGTAAATCAGCTGTAATTCTGCAGCTGTGAACCAGCAGCCCTATGTTCTGAGTTTTATTGCCAGTTTGCCTTCTGACTATGGCAGAAGTACTAACCCAGTGTTCCACCAACTATTTGTTTGCAATATTCACAGTATGATTCTCTGGGCTGCTGAGCAACTGCAGCTCATACTGGTGAAAAAGAACATTCAGAAATGGAGCTATCTACATTTACTGACAATTCTAGACAATTAAAGGCAAAACAACTTCCATATTTTTTTTCTACTGTAAAATGAAATCAGAAACAGTCATCACTGAAAGGTGTTTCTCTTTATGACTTTTTTTTTTTTTTTTTCTATATCAAAGTGAGCATCCATGCATATGAATGTACATCCAGTGTGTAACTTGACTGCATATTTTGTTCCGATTTCCTGGGGAGTAATATACCTGGAGTTTGCTGTGATCATTTGTCATAAAGAACAATCAATGATTAGCTGGAATTTAGTGGAATGAGAGTTTAGCTAACCTTGCTAGAAAATACTGGTTTTAGCCAGGAACATTAAGCAGTGGTGCTTTCCAGTCTAGTCTCTTGAGACTAAAATTAGTGAGGTAGCCTGGATCAGACCAAGGCCTGTTTAAGCAGTAGCTATGTTTCAACCAAGAAAATTGCCTTTGGAGGGCATCTACCCCAGTTATGCCAGATTTGGTATAGGGTCAGTGAAGCACAGCCTTCGAAGTAGCTTGTTGCAACCTGGAAGGATTCAGTCTAAAGAGAAATGGTAATTAAGACAGAAGCCTGTGTCAGACGCAAAAGGTTTGGTTGAGAGGGTTTGATCCAGTAGAAGGTCTGTCCTTAGAGGAGGATCCAAGGAACTAAAGTATTTCATATAGATGCTAAGTTAGTTTTCGGACCGTATACAATTTTCTATACTGTATATTATTTCAGCTCTGCTGGGATCAATGTAAGTGTGCTTTCTAAATGCACTTGCTATTCTTTTCTTCTTAGGTGTTTATTCTTCCCCTCCTCCTCTACCCAGGAGCTCAGTCTGTAATGTACAGCTCTTGACCCCAGATTACTTCTTCAGTGACTTAATAGAAACACAAACACCTAACAGTCAGCCAAACGTCAGTGTTTGGTGTGCTGAAACCACATAACTATCATTAAAAGGTGCAAACTTTCAAGAGAGGGAAAAAACTATTAAGAAATGTAATTTCTGTAGGCTCTAGCCCAGTACTTTTTTACATAACCCCATCTGCTTGCCTCAGTAACATTGTTTCTCATCAGTTTTCAGTTTTAAAAAGACCCACATAATAAACAAAGCTGGAGTCAAGTACACCTTAGTTCCACTCTTCTCACAGTTCAGCAGCTGACTGAGCCATATACACATACACACAACATAAGAAAGTAGAGGCTACATTGTCTCAGGATATGTTTATAAAACAAAAAAAGCCACTTAGCCTCTGAGTTGCACAAAGACTTTGTGACAGTCATAGAGCTGGTGTTTATATTAGATCTATCTACCATTCTACCATGCTTCACAATCATAGGCATTATGACTCTTCAAAACGCAAATAGAATTGAATTCCCTAATATTTGAACATGTCAAATGCTTATAGTTAATGTATTAAAATAAAGAGGGTTGTTTATTAAGGCCACCTAGCATACACTTGCTTATCTAGATACCTGGCATTTCACCTCCTAAAATTGACATGACTAGTATTATGACAAGATTACTTCTTCTGAGCAATCCTAAACCAACAGACTGCTCTGTAACTATAGCTTGCAATTTCAAAGGACATAAAAGAAGTTAAAAATGGAAATCCTTAAAACTGATTAAGATCTGGGCACCTAACTCAGTCCAGCCACCTCAGTCTTACTTGAAAACACCCAGCATGTGCTATACACAGTCTGGATCAGACTGAATTCAGCCATGGAATGCAGTTTGACTTTAAACCCTCTTGCTTGCTGCATGCCAATTTCAGAATTCAACAATCAGGTTCAAAATTAAAAATGGCTATTACTGACTAGAAAACAAGGAACTGTTACCTTTTGTCCCTGCTCAGCTAAGTTACCTCTTCATGAACTGTGTCACTAGTAAACACAAAACCGTAGATCACCTCTTGCAGAGTGTCTGCTTCTTCATTAGTATTGAGTGGGCTATCCACATAACCTGACATGTGTCCAGCTGTGCTTTCCACACGCTCAGCTAGAAGGCTAAAGTCATTACATCAGGGACGTCAGTGGTATTTAGATTTGACTTACTGATCTCTGCTGCTATTACTGTAATGTTGTGCCATAGCAGTGTTTCCCGGTCAAGGGGTTTTGAAGTAAATATTGAACCATTTCCTGAATTGATGTTGAATACTCTGTCCATATCAGTGTGTCGATCTACAGAGTACCTGCAAATACAGAGAGGAGGGTTAGGAGAATGTTCTTAAACCATTTTCTAAAACTAGACATCAAACAGCTTGTAAATGGGCTTGCCTTTTGTTTTCAGTGCAGGCTTCAGAATCTTTATATACTCACACAAAGAGCTAATTCTGAGCTAATGGATAATGACACATTGGAGGTTTGATATAGAAGGTGGAGCATTGTCACTGAATAAATGAATTACTGCAGAATTTACATACCTCTGAGAATCATCAAAGCTTTGTTTTTAGTGAGAAATGTGAAGTCTGTGTCCTGAAAGATATGAAGTTTATTTTAAGGCTGAGTTGGCTTTGACATTAAAACCCCCTCTTTTTATGGTTTGATATCTCAACTGTTCCAAACAATTTATAATATAAAATTTGACAACCGGGGTACATTTCTGCTTTTCACTTCCCAGGGTTTAAAAAGACTGTCCCCCCAAACCAAGTCAGCACAGAACAGAGATTCTTTATTCCATGGTACATATCACATAAAGGTTTGCTATAATTCATTAAAACCAACATGTTCAGCCCTGCTTGATGGCATCTAGACATGAAAAAGAATGCTAAAAAGCTTTGGGGGAGCTCAGAGTCTAAAGATCTTTTGCTTTTTCTGCTGAACTGAATCTAACTTTAAAAACAGAACTCTCCAGTTCATGGGAGAGGGTGCTACCACCCCAATCCGAATGCTGTGACTTGGTTTCATCTCTCATGAAGAGAAAATTATTGCATAAATTATGGAGGTTTTGATGGATATATGTCTCTGATGTTGCTAAAGCAAGAATGCAATTGCATTATTCTGCTCCTGTTTCAAGCCCGAATGTGTGCTGATGTACAATCCAGGACAGAGCCTTCGGAAACCCAGTGTGCTCCGTGCTCTCCTGCAGCCCACGTCTATGGAGACAAGGCAGCTACTGCTGCCCCTTGTGTGCAGACAAAGATAAAGATACGGCTGAGCTGGTATGCAGTCAGATGAAAACTGGGCCAGGAGAATGACCGGCAGAGTTTACTACCACTACAGAATTGAGGGGAATTCAGAGACTGAAGAAAAATGTCCCTTCCCTGCACTGCCCTAGGAGCAGCTGTGTGACATGTCCCTTATTCTGTACAGACCTCCCAGGGCCTGTGCAGTCTCTCTTAACCTCTGAGAAAGATCTTGCATGGAAGAAGGAGGAAATAGAAAAGTCCAGCTGAAACATAGGATTCTGACTAAGGTTTAAAATAAAATAACTTGCTAATTATCTTGTAACTGCATTTTTTTTTTTTCTTCTTTGCAAGTAAAAAAATGGGATATAATACCCACAGCAAATTAGACTGGTCTTATTCTAAAATAAGAATCTTAGTATAGCCTATCTTCCTAAACAAAACTATAGCAAGTACTAATTATTTGCACTAAACTCTTTTTCCACAATAAATTCATATAGGAACAACCAAATGAGATTCAAAGGTACTCACACAAAAAGCTAACTTTTTTTACTAGGTCTTGCACAGGCACACCTTGATAGTTTTTCACGAGTTGATTTAGTTTTTATTCGTTGCTGTCACTTGCCTATCAGTACCGCAATTTCAGCTGCACGAAGTCAGCTGTGGTGTCACAAACCTGGTTCCTTTATGCAGCTCTGTAATGTTACCATCAGCTAGTATGAGTATGTGAGAAGGTATGTAACAGGCAGCGCTGATTGATGGGACAGCTCCAGCAAGCTCTGTTGTTTTGTCCAAATCTAAACAGTACATGTGAATTTGTCGACTTAGCTGAAGTGTTTGATGGAAGCAAGTTTATACAAACCAGTCTGACTATCTTATATTTTGATAAAGTAAGTATTTGATACGGTAAACATTTTATTTTAACTTTAATTCATTCAGGCTTTTATATGATATTATGTTGGTATTTTGTGAAATCAATTATTTTCCAGATATTCTGCAGCTCGTTTTCATATCTTTCAGCTGAAACACTTTGGTATTCCCATTTTGCAGTAAATCTGGATTTTGCATTATTATTTGAAATGAAATAGCAGGATTTTCCATAGATTTGCTGTTCCAGCCAACTGTAATATGTTTCAGGGTTTTATTCAACACGATATTTAAGTAAGCAACTAGCTTTAGGCATAAGTTGTCTGTTCATAGGCTTTTTTTCTTCAGTTATACTTTCACTCATGCTTCATATTATGAATGGACTTAAAATATTTTACTGCATTAGCACATTTTAATGCCTTTGAATATTGTAATCACTGTCTTTACTTTGTAAGATTTCCCAAATTCAATCTCGGGTACAGTATCTGGATGAAAAAAAAAAAAAAAAAAAATTGTTCTGGATTTTTTCTGAAGTTACCAGAGCTGTATCCTTGAGGACTTTTTCTACAATATATGAAGAATTTTAAAGTGGAAGTCCTTGTAAAACTGTATGTATATTCAGTCATTTGTACAGTGGAAAGTCAAACTCAAAAAAAAAATCCAAAACCCCCAAACCAAACAGAGAACAACTTCTTAATGAAATATTAATTTTATTTCTTCATCTCCAAAAGAAGAAACTTACAAGGTCAATGCAGTTAAAGTATTTTCTAATTATACCATTAACCCTGGTCTAGAAGGATGATTTTAATAAGCTAGACTGTCACTTCTGTATCTCAGTTTGTATAATCCAGTCTCTTTTGATCAAGGACTGTTAATTATGTTGAATTGGTGGTGATTCTGATTTATGGATCATAACCTAGTAAGAATTAAGCAGACAACATCAAACTCACTTTTACATTTATTTAATGAAATTACTGGTGTGTATTTTTCAGATTTCAGGACTTCATTCCTTTCAAACCTTGAGGCACTGACAAGCTAGAAAGTTAAAAGGTATTTATCTAGATTCCAGTCTTTCCTTGTATATAACAGGAAGAAGTGGAGGGTGAAAGAGAGAATCTAGCACATGCAAATATATTGCCAGTAAAATACACAAACAGAATTAAGCCTTACATTTGTTTGCAGATCATTTTCATCTGGGATACTTTAGTAAATCAAATCACAGCAGGGAGACAGTTCCAGTGACTGATGAACTTCATTATGCCTCTGAGTTACTATAGCAAAAAAACTCAACTAGCAATTTAAAAAGATCTGATATACAATATAGCAGTGCCAGTTGAAGCATTATTTTTTTTTTCAGTATGCAGCAGTTCATAGTATTTCTATTTAGATCAAACACAAGTAGATTGCAAACCTTTTTTTAATAACACAGCTGGACAGTGGAGTGTTACTCAGGAGTGTATTAATGTCACCACGCATGGATTCATATTCAAATGTAGCCAAACATCCATTGGTGTTTTTTTGTATTTTCTTAAAGTCATGTCACAGCAAAGCTTATTTGTAAAGGCTGGACTGATGAAATGTTGCTCTACTAAGACACAGGTCATGAACAATTATGCAGTCTTACAACCAGGGCAGATATCTGCTTCATATTTTGCTATTGCTTCATTGTCTTCTGATGTTCAGCAGCTTGCTGTTTAATGTAACCGTGAGACAGGAAGATTTGTGGGTCAGGAAGGGATGTGTGTGTGAATTTTTCATAATGCATTTTCATAATGATATTGTGAAGGTTTCCTTTAATGGAAGATCAAAGTGGCTTTCATCTAACAGAGTTTGGGCTCTGCTTAAAGAGACAAATCTTCACTCGAGTAAAGGAGAAAATGGAAGGTTTTCATTGTAATATCAAGTGTCTAAAGATTTTATTTTTAACTGTCAAGAAAAATTGACAAGCAAGTGACAAGTCATATATATACAGTCTAATTGCATCTTCCCTGAAGCTCAGAGTGAAAATCGGATTTAGCATCTCTATTGCATGATGGAAAAAAAAAAAATCACCCTGTCAAAAAGATGCAGACTCAACCTATGCCCCTAAATTCTAGGAGATACCCAAGATATTAGCACCATAAAATTACATTTATTGCAAGCTAACATCTCTCAAGCTACTGCTCTCTGCTGATTTCCTTCCCTTCTTTCTGATTTTCATGTTTCTTCTTGCAATGTTTATTTCTATTACTATTACTCTAACCTCTTCCTCATTTTGTTTTTTTTTTTCTCCTTTCACCTTGTTGCATGCTATTAGAGTATAAAGGAGACAAGTTTTCTTCTGTACTGTACTCTATCAATTTTGACACCTCTGCTAAATTTTGCTCAATAATTCTCTGATACTTCAATATGCAAAGTACCTATACTGTATTAAACAAATGCCCTTGGAAAGATAGTTAAGTTTTAGCACACACATTCAATTAATGAAAAGAGCCAGTAGGCAGTACTGAACAATGAACAGCATAATCCCTACCCACTGTAAATCACTTATAATTAGGAGCTGGTGCTGGTGCAAAATGCAAATGGTTGTAGTTATCACTACAGGGAAGCAGAAGTAAGTACAGAAGCACTCCCCTCACTCTCCAGTGCCGTTAGGTATAAAAAAGCAGGTTCATATGAAGACTGCCAGGGGTCTGGATGTCACCCCAATCAATTTTTTTGTCTTCATGCTAGCATGCCCATGAAGATATGCTATAGAAGGTGTTCATTCTGTCCCTGGGCTTCACTAAAGTCAGTAAAACATTATGTTGCTCTTGAAGTTACTATAGTCTGCTGGACCAGAACTCCATATAATTGTTGCATGTCATGATATAAATGAAAGCAAACCTTAATTAAAATTAGAAGGCTTAGTCGTGAACAAGAATTAATGTGCAGGATATTGCATGTAAACTGAAGACAGAGAGTGATTCCGTCAGAAACATTTTAGATTTAGTTTCTCCATCTAGGAAAATAAGATGATAATATTTACCCTTCTCACAAGACGAGCTGAGAGCTTAAAACTTACTCATGCTTCATAAACATTGCAAGATATCTTGGTGAAAGATAGTTGTTTGCAGAAGTGCAAAGTATTGATGGATTGGATTTTTATTAAACCTGCATTGTTCTATTTTGATCTTAAGACCACTATTGCACTTCCAAGGTGCTGAACCTAGTGACATGCTGAAAATTGACCTGGATTTAATATTGCTGTATATTTAATTTCCTCCTCTTACCGCCTTGTCAGTAGCAATGAACTTTAATTAAAGCACACAACTATTTGAAAGTTCTTCTGTACTGTATCCAATATGCTTTAAGTGCTCCAGTATGTTTTCCAATGTACTGAAACAGCGTACTTGTTAATTTACAAACAACGAAGTCTTAGCTTTAGCAACTCCAACCTTAATGTTACCTCCACTTCGTCTAAGACAGTTTACTGATTCATGGCAAGCGTAATTTATGAAGTCTGTGAGACTGATTCTTATCTTACTAAGCTTACACTGATACAAGTGAGATCAGAGTCTGTGCGTGCACATGAGCTGCTTTTAAGGTGTTTCTACTTGGATGTGTAACCTCTGTTAAGCAGGTCTGGATGGATGGGAGAAGAAAGGGCTGCTGAATCACCCCCTGTCATAGAGCCAAGAGGGTGCACCACACTGCACTGGAAAATCTTAAGGGTGGAAAGATAACACTAATTCCTTCTTAGTGCTCTTTTTGCTGTAAATTCTTCCATAGTAGAGATAACTACAAACATTAGTTACTGAAGAGGATAGGATGTAACTCAAGATGCAAGGGCCATGCAAACACAATCACACATACCTAGATATACTCAAGTGTGAGAGATCATTTACCATCTACAATACTCCATATTTAAGCATACCTGAACAATTTAATTGTTACAAGTGATCTTTTTTTTTTTTTTTTTTTTTGTATGCTGACATGAAAAATGCAAAATTAAAGCTGTAAAAAATTTCCACACAAGCTGAAATAGTCTATGCTTACTTGACAGGGTTCTTTGCAGCATCTGGATCCTGAGCAGTTACTGTTCCTATTACACTGTTTACTGGAACATCTTCTTTCACTTCCATTATGTATGCTGGTCTGCTGAACACGGGGGGTTCGTCTACATCCTCCACCTGAATTCTGACTGTAGCTGAGTCCTTGAATGGCCCCAGGTAGAGGAATCGAGGGTCCACATGAGTATTGGTAGCTTCCACTTTCAGAATATACAGGCTTTTATTTTCGAAATCCAATGCCTGGGAAGAGAAAAAAAAGTTTCAGATGTCTGTGAGGATTGCTGTGGCTTGCAGCCAGATGAGCCAAATGAATGGGGGGGATGTCATGGAGAAGCCTGTGCTAGCTAACAGGAGGCTGAACTGGAATTAAAATGCCAGCAGAAAGGAGAAAGACAGAGCTCTATGCCACTGATGACACGGTATAGAGAGAAACACTTTTTCAGGGAATTCTATGCCTGGAACTCCTAAATATCAATTACTCTTTCATTCTCAAATAGTCTTAACTCTTCATGCCTTTTATTCTGTCATTTTTGGCATTCCAATGTTTTCTTATCTTTTGCTTGCCCCTAAACACCACACACTAAAGTAAGGGAAGATGTTCTAGGAGCTGCTTGTTTAAATATTGGCATTCTGTCACTGAAATGAAACACTGTGACATCTAGTGTCTGGACACCCAGGACCACCCATCAAGGAAAACATGATTTTATGATAGGCTATGACTATATCACACTCTGTTAAAAGCATGAAGAAGAAGCATTTAGTGACTCTTTGTTACAGTACTTAGAGAAATATGGGGAGAGAGTAGTCACCCCATTTTTCCATTATGTTTTAGAAGATTCACAGCTGCTGTTAACGACAGACAGAAATGCAAACAGAGTTAGACTGATATCATAATCAGGCCCTGGAAGGCATCGCCTAAAAAACAAGTAATGACAGGTGTCATACTGATATCAACACACAAGTGCATGTCTGGAAAACCTACACAAAATCTATCCAGTGATGACTGAACTTGAACTGATGGAGGATGATATCTGTAACCTTATCAAGCTTGCTTGATAAACCACTGTAAACAATATTTCTTAAACCTTTTCTGACAGCCAATGTGCAACCTAGTAGGTGATGTCCATTGTGATCCAGCAAGGCACTGTCATTTTTTTTCCTAAAACAAAAGCATGCTGATGGATTTACTAATTACACTTTTACAAAATGTGAGTCAAAAGAAATTTGTCTATGTACTTTAATACATCATAGATATACAATTCTACACCTTCTGATAATGCAAAATAGGCAATGTGACACGGATTATTTCTGTAGTCTTAATGCAGCATCTTCTAGTAAGTGAGCAAATCCTGTAAGCATCACGGAGAAAATCAGTTGGATGGTGGTGCCTCCTTGAGTTATTCTGCGGATATGTTCAGACTGCAGAATTTTTTCTCAGTCCTATCCCACTCCCTAGGTTATTTACTTTCTCAGGTCCTTCAAAGTATGCACATTGGTTTAGTAGAGTATAAGAGGAAGGACCACAATTACTTGTGTAAAAGAAACTTTGCATAGGTAATGTAGAGATTTCTAATAGGAAGCATTCAAATTAATAAACAACACATGTTGCACTAAAAATGGGGAACATATATGTGCTAATAAAACAAATAAAGTTTTGACTGGCATTTCAGAGGCTGGGATTAAATGTGTTAAAATGTGTACCTTTTTGACAGTTATAATTCCTTCCTGTGTGTCCTTGTCTGTGGTAATTCCAAACATGTCATATCCATCCCCCTCAGTGATGCTGTATTCAATCTCTGCATTTTCATCCACATCAGCATCATTAGCTTTTATCCTGCCAACTGGTGAGTCAGGTGGCATAGACTCAGGAGCTCTGAACTGGTACGTGCCTGCAGCAGACAGAGAAGGAAATTTTGTCAGAGAGTCTCATGGTACTTTGGATACTGTCTCTCAGCCCACTGTCCATGCTGGGCAAGCACAGATGAATTAGCAAATCACTGTGTCTTCAGGCCTTCCTGGGGCAACAGCCTTCAGATTCTGCCTTACTTTTATCTGGATAAAAGTAACTTATTCCTCTATTTCCTCCTATGAAGGATGGGCATTTTTTTTTTCCTACGTACGTGTATCTTTAGCAACATATGTCCCTTTCTAGATGTTATCAGGGTCTCTGTTGGCCATATAAAAATTGTATATCAAAAATGTCTTGAGGCCAAAAGGCAAATATTAAGAACAGCCAGAGGCCAATGCAGCTTAGTAACACTAAAACCAAATCCAGCCCAAATGCCTATTAATAACGTGCTATATTGAATTCTCCTCAGAAAAAAACTCTACTTGGGGAATGTTGGCATTATGAAGCTGTATCTTTGGCTTTTATGTGGAAGACACTTATGTCCAGAGATATGTAATTAACTCATTGGAAGCAGAGTGCTATATTTTCTCCTAAGTGGCTCTAATTTAAATGGAAACACTTTGCCCATAGCTAAGAACAGACTTTGAACTTAAATGACAAGTTGCTTCCAATAACTTTCCCTGTGACTTAACTGCCAAAGCTTGCTGATTTGTCTGATAGTATCTGCAATTATTTTCTCTAACAGCTGCTCTTGACTTTGACACACACTGACACTGTGGTGATACACACATCACACACAGAACAGTGGTTAGACAAAGCAAAAAAAAGAAAGAGAGAGAAAGAAGGAAAAAAATAAATAAAGAGAGAAGGAAAGAGAGGGATAAAGAAGTGGATGAAATCACTTTGAATCACTTTGAATCTTTTATGGCCATGAATGGTCATTAATAAAAATTACTTTCTAAGAGATCTGGCTCAGCTGATTTCCTTAAATATCACACAGATATCCACCAAATTATCTGAGACAGGGGAAGGAAAAGAGGCAGAAATATCTGGTATATTTATGTGCGTGCTTTTGTTTCTGTATGCAAGGAATATAGGAAAATCCATTGAGGCAAATGCTTCCTGGGTGTAAGTATTCATTTTGATAGAATTGCTCTTGGGATCATTTTACGTACTTAAATAAATACATTTCAAAACTCAAATATGTTAGATTAGAACAGATATCTTAAAATGTGGTCAACCACAAGGTATAACAGAAATAATATTGATCAAGAAATATAGATTATATCAGTTAAAGCTATTTAATGGGTAGAAAAAATAATGTTTCTGTACATTAATTCACCTCTCAAACTATCTACTGTGACTGGAGTAAAAATATTAAAGATATGTTTCCCATTTATTGCAATTAACCTTAGCATGATGCTATTGCTTGCTTGTGTGGTCTCTTTCTTAAAGGAAGTCTGACACTCAGTACATTCACGACAGCAGAAAAAATATCTGAGGTGAAAAAAAAAAAAAAAAAAACAAATCAATTTTTGTCTGTTTTAATGTAAAGACACAGTAAGTAAATTTTCCATACTCTGGGGGAAGCGAGGTGGGTTGTCATTTACGTCAGTCAGTGTAATGTTCACGGTGGTGGTTCCCGATAATCCGCCCATCTGGCCTCCCATGTCCTTAGCCTGGATGACCACTTGGTACTGCTCCCTGTTTTCACGGTCCATGTTTAACAAAGCAGTTTTAATAATGCCTGAAAACATGAAAATTAAGGAGGGGGAATACACATGTAAGGTACTGACTTTGATGGAAGTTCTTATTAAAAAAATCCCACAACCTAAAGAACAAAACAATCTGTATGTAATAAGTAAACTTTGCCCAGTACAAATATTTACTGTTATGAGATGGCACATTAAATTACAGACTTGTCATATCATATCTCAGGCTGCTGGTTATGTGACAGACACAATAGTAGTAGCATCCCCAGAAAGATGTTCTACTTATTTGTGAGCAGTGTTATTTTGCATAACTATATACCCCCCCTTTCAGTTCCATGCTAAAGTCTCTCGCTGAACTGGAAAATGGCTCTTTGTCCATTATAATGTGCTCCATCTTTTCTCGCCTGTTCTGTCAATATTTTTATTTTGACGGACATGGGGGGGGGTGGGGAAAAAAAAAGCTAACTTCAGCAAGACATAATTAAAAAGGCAGTACAACAACATTAAATGGGAAAAGAGAAATTAATTAAGAAAATTATGAGCATTCAAGCGTGCCCAAGTATATATATTTCTATTTATACATTGACTGAAATGTTTTTGCCAGTTATTTCCTTCTTCAGAGGCACAAATATCAGTTATGAGGCCAACTCCTATTGAAATTCAATCACTCGGATTTACCATGAAGCAGAATGTTTGCACTCTCACTGGGTCTTTTAAGGCTAAGAACTGACTCCTCTCTAGGCAAAAGGGGTGAAATTCAAGTACTGAAATCCATGGCAAAATTCACAGCAGCTTCAACACATATTTATTTCAGTCTAGAAGTTTTGCAATTGATTTAGACAGCAAGAAGATTAAGCCTGTGGTTTACCTTGCTTCCCCTCTGTGCCCCATACAGCCCTCTTGCTAGAGGTTTATTACTGGTGAACTCCCAGATACATTATCCTTATTATAACTCTAGATAGAAGAGCACACAGTGTACTGTCCAAGTCAGAATGAGTGCATCAGTGCAAAAATCCTTGCTTGAATTATCTAATGCCTTATGCTTGAAGGGAAGTTCCCTTTGATCTTGGCTCTCCCTCTTTTCAGAATTATGTACATTTTTCCACCTCATGTTTTTCTTTCAGTAATCTAATCTCTCCCTCATTTTCCTTGCCTGAGTCTCTAAGATTTATTTAAGAAACAATGCTAGAACCTGACTAATTGTCTGGGATAATCAATTCCTTTCCTGTAAGGATGCTGAGGAGCTGATTTCTCTAGCTTCCAGCAACCTATCACAGTGGATGTTCCCATTTAAGCAGTTTCTTGAGATCCTTTGTTTCTTGTTGGCGAATTTTGTTATAAATCTTGGGAAGAGACTATCTATATAGATGGATAGTCAATAGTACAGAAGATTCAGTAAGCCAGAATTCTATGTTTTACATGCACAGGTTCCAAAGCTATCTGTTATTCAGACCATAAAAATTCCAGTCACTGTGTATAATTTAAACATCTTCCAAAAACAGAACTCCGAAGTTTGGGATTCTATTTGCAATCTTCCAGTGCAGCACAACAGCCAATTTTACATCTTCTATCATTATTCTTAATTAAGATTTCTTTCATAAAATTATCATTAAAGTGATATGTTGCAGATGTACAGAAATTATAATTACTTTAAACAAGTTTTGAAGAAGCAGGAGAAAAAAAAAAAACAAAAAACACCTGAACAAACCCTCAGTCTTAATTTAGCCATTATGAAGATGTATGAGGATTAAGCACTTCTTTTCCACACCCACCTGTTTCTTGTTTTTGTCTATAAGTCAGCCTACTTGGTTTAATTTAAAAATCCATGGCAGTCTTGGTACCCACTGCTTGTTAAAAATTATTGAAAATTAGTTCACATACAGTACTAATTGTATTTATTAGACTTTTCTGGTAAGATTAATATAATACAGGCATCATGTTTACAGATGTATCGCTCTATTAAGTTTGTCAGATTTCACACTGAGTAAAATGTAATCTCTTTGAAGTTTTTGTCTAGTATGTCCTAGCTTGGCTTAGCATGTCATTCTGAATTACAGACATTGTCACAGAATGACAGATAAGGTCCCCTGACCTGTCTCAGATTCGACAGAGAAATATGGTTGTCCCTGGAGAATACTGTAGACAACTTTAGCACTGTTCCCATATGTAGGATCATCAGCATCAGTTGCAGTGACTTGCACAACAAATGTACCTGTAATGATAAATAAAAGAAAATAAAAATGCACAGGTTTTTTCATGGCCAAGAAAGTTTATAATGTAGAAAAAGCATAGTTAATGTTCAGGTCAAACTTGTGGCAAAAATTTAGAGATACTCTTATTTCATAGAAGTTTCTCTGCTCGTAAAAGACATAGATACAAAACCAAAATGATAGTTGGTTTATTCTCAGTTCATTTGAAATACACAGTTATTGATTATATATGTAGCTCCTTCATCACATTGCTCACGAAGAAACCAGAAATGCACCCCTTCCCCAGATACTGAAAGCATTCAGAATTTGAATCCAGATCAAGAATATACTTTTGCAAATTTACTTATGCTCATAAGGTGTTTGACATAGGAATGTAAAATTGTTTTTTCACATGTCTTCTAGAGAAAGAAGTGGTGTTGAATCCTAGACAAAGTGTTAACAAACATGAGAAAATGAGCTTAGGTATTGGTATTTAATACAGATTTGTAAATAAAATATTCACTTCACATATTAAAATGTGAATATTAGGTTCTCTTTTTACCAGATGAAGTTTCAACCTGTGTGATGAGTCCCATAAATGAGAGGAGAGAGTATGCCCCAAAGTCTTTATTTTCATATTGCTTGAGATTTATTTTAATCTTGTTCTTAATTATGATTAATTAATGCTTCTCTCCCTGGATACTATTTCAGATTAGAAATGAGCTTCTTGCAGTTCAACCATCCACTACTGTCTGACAAAGAAATCAAAATGACCTCCCTAAGAATCAGACACAAAGAATCAAAACCTGTCAACTTCTCTGGAAAAGATCCAATCTTAAAATCATATTTCAAGAGAGTTATTTTCTTTTCTTTTATTGATTGATTCTTACAGCTTGATATATTTTAAATCAATAAAAAGACTTCAGTAGACTTTAAAGCTCTTGTCTTTTGCATGAAAAGAGCAACAAAGGTCACAGGAATTTAATGGCATGTCTCAGAATCAGTGATGATCTGACTCGGGTGACAGTTTTCACTCCTGAAGTGTGTACAACCACTTCTGCACCTGTACTTCTCTTTTTTTTTACCTTCCTGGACTAAAAAAAGGTTGCTGAACAGATCTAGGGGTGGTATGGACACACTTAAGTGACCATGGATTGTCATATTATTACACTGCTACTAAATCATGTTAACAAAGCCTATTAAACTCTTTACAGGTGTCGTGTAACACAGCTTACTTAGCTCAGCTCACTTTCACTGTGAGCTAAATTAGATTGTATTAATTTGCATTTTTTGTGGTACAACAGAGGGAGTGGATTTCACTCAGCTGACACCTCTGATTCCAGGATACTGTTGTCACTATTTTCCTGGAGTTATTTTTTTTTTCTAAATGGCTGAGGTGCTTTTACTCCAGACTCAAACAGTGGATGTTTGTATTCAGTGCCTGTAAACTTTGGGCCCTTCATTAACTCCACAGAAAGAACCCAGACCAGACACTGAAATAAATTATTGGTTAGCACCTACCAACATCTGACATTTCAGGAATGCTAGCATTGTAAACATCCTTTGTAAACATGGGCTCATTGTCATTGATATCATGGATCTTAATGATGAACTCAGATTCTGGTTCCACGGGTCTTCCAGTCCTTCTGTTTATAGCCTGGGCACGGAGTATGTATACAGGCTTTTCTTCTCTGTCTAGTCTCTTTGTGGCCTGGATGTCACCAGTGTTTTCATTGATAATGAAGAGGTCTCCTGCTCCATCTCCAGAAAGGATGTACTTAAGTGATCCATCTCCTTTATCCTGGTCTGAATGCAGCTGGTGGTGAAATGGGAATAAAAAAAAAGAAAGGAAAATAAATAATTGGAACATAATTCTAGATACTTCAACTGATACCATGATACATGCTTTACTATCATTAATGCCCAGCCAATAGGCTGTACACTGCTTTTGGGAAATGAGATGATACCACAGTAGAAGCCGTGAATTGATAAAGTTGTGTCTTGATGCCAGAATTGAAATGGTCTGCAATATTGTACGAAATTGCCCAAGGAAAACCATGAACTGAAGCAGCAGACCACTTTCACAAGTTAAGCATACATCAATCAGATCTAGATGTTAGTGGCTTAGGTGAAATTCTAGGAATATGTAGGACAGTGAGATCCTACAGTGGAAAAACATTGGAATCAGGAATTGCAGTAAGCAAAGAATTAAAAAGTAGCCAGGCCAGTCATTTCTTGAGTTTAAATTCTGGGTGCTCTGCTCTTATGCCCCATGGATATTATGTAATATACTACACAGTGCACAGCATAATAACATACTAAATAGATGCACGAATAACGGATAAACACATGCATTCACAGATGTGGCAAACAGAGCAGAGGCAGGCAGGCGTACTAGACCATTATAGCACTGGCAGTGAAGAGATCAGCTGCCTTGTCCAAAGGGACATGGACCAATCTGAAATATGGTGGGGGCTGAGGAAATATAAGAATGATGGTAATTGACATACAAAGCATAAGCTGCCCAAACCATCACCTTTTTTTCCCAGAAGATTTAGACGTCTCTTGAAATGCTGCTTAGCACACACATAAGGTTAAATTACACACAAGGTCAGTTAAATCATACTCTCATGGCTGTTCCTTTGAAAAAGGCTTACTTATACCCCTGGCTTTAAAATCAAGGCTAATCAACGACAATTTATTTTATTGTTACATTAGGGAATATAAAAATTTTAAAAATGAAATATTAAATGGCTTCTAAAGTCAGGGCATAGGTGAAAAAATTAATGGGAAAAAACCTAATCTATTGGGGAGCAGATTCCTGGAAACCCTTGATTTCATAGAAAAGACATGTTTATGAGTCAGGAGAGCTGGACTTTCTCAACGAGCTCTTTGCTTTTCTTTTCCTGCATACAAGTCAGAACAAAATTACCTAGTTGAATATGTGGCAAAGTACTTAACATTGCTGGGTGGTATGCTTTGTAGAAGAGAAAGATTTGTATGTTGAAAGAATATAGAAAATCTTTGTATGGACTTTATGAATGCCTGGCTATGCCCCTGCCATGCTGGAAGGTGAATGTTTTTGGGGTCCTCCAACTTTCTGCTCAGATCAGTGTTATGCTGGCAGCCTACTGACAACCCACTTAGTGTCACAGTGCTCTACAATGTGTGCTTATGCCTGTGTTCCCTACAGAAACCATGTTCCATGCAACAAGTCTGCCTTTCAGGTCAAAACTCTCACCACACATACAAGAAGTGTCCAATAATACAAAATATTGGAACTGTAGCATGGTTAATCGTTAGCAGACATGCTGAGGCACTCTTAATTTTCTCCTTCAAGGAGAAAATAGGCATTTCATATAATTTTGCACAGAACCCTTTCTCTTGATAATAAGAATACCAATAAGTAGCTTGTATGCAGCATTTTTCGTAAGCTGATTTCAAAAGACTTCACAAAAGCAGTCAATACTGTTTGCTCTGTCTTTTTGATAATAAAGCATGAAAACTTGAAGTTTCTCAGAAAGCTAGTCTTGGAACCTGGAATAAAGTTCAGATCTCCTGAGTCCCATTCAGTTGGCCAATACGCTCAGCCATACAGCTTAGATGAATTATATGATTTACTAGGTATAAACTCAGCCTCTGATGAATATTTGTTAGACCTGCTTGTTAAGTAGTCAGACTAGAAGTCTACTGCGGGAAGTAATTTCAATAGGATATTTGAGTATAATTTTTCTCAAAGGCAACTTGCAACAGAAAAGGCAAGAAAAGAATTCTGTCTTTAAAACTGTATTTTTTATGATTGTTTCACATCAAAAATTCAATTTCTGTTTGCCTTGAGAGCCTCTTTTACTTTGTCTGTACCATACTGGGACAAAACCAGCCCCTGGTAACAAACTATCATTAATTCATATGAATCATGAAATAGTGCTGTTGTGAGACTTGTTACTGAACTCCCAAACTAATTTTTATCATAATTTTAATTAAACCTGGTTTCTATGAACAAGGTAGAAAAAAAGGTCAAGCTAGAAAAGGTGTTGGAACCACCGGGAATTGTCTTCCGTAATACTGTTTACCTAGCCCAGACCACCTAAAGAGCTAAAAATGCAAACTTGAGTGATTTTTTTCAAGCCCATAGTTTATGAAATTCCCACTCCTCTTCCACAATTAATCCACCTGTGTAAGTTTGACTGTGACTTTGGATATCAAGACAAAGTATATCTCAGTGTAATGACTCATTGACATTGAGAATGAGGTGATCTTCACCAAAGGGTCAATCTCTAGCCCTTCAGCAAAAGAACTAAGTTTTGAAAATAAATGTTACCTAGGCCTATATCACGACACCAGCTTCAATTGCTTAATAGCTGAACCAAAATAGGTTGGATTTTGTTCTCTTCTTTTCAGATTTTTTTTTTTTATATTAAGAAAAACAAACAGATCTCTAGAAAAGTTTCTCATAGATGATAAATTTGTAACATTTCCTTGTGAGGAAAACATGAAAAAATGATTTATTATTTTAGATTACTTTATCTGTCCTTTTCTGTTTGCTTGGTAGAAAGGTTTTATCCAGTCAAAGACAATCATCTGCTTTACTTTTTCTTAAGTGTCAGTTTACCTTGGAAGCAATATTTTGTCTATGTGACCTATATGAGGGGGGAAACGAATACTGTAAACAGGATTAAAAAAAATAAATATGGAATAAAATAAAAGGAGAAATAAATGGTGCAAGTTGAGGCCAAAAGAAGGGCCTGGAGGCAAGATCCACTTAAAAATACAGCTGGTGGTTTTGTATATAAAACTTACACCATTGATAGGTTATTAGAATGAATGAGTAGTAATAACAACACTCAAACCCCCACCCCCACCCCTTTTCCTTTTAAGTTGAAGTTATTTTTCACTACCCAGGCACCTCATTGCAAAGGAAATTTGCTGTGATGAGATATGTGTATAAATTATACTACAGATGCTTTTAGTAGGACTAATCCTAGCCCATACAAGATATTATATCTTCACTCTGTGTGCTAACATGTGTCGCAAAAGAGTGTCTGTTATTCTCTGCCTAAAGTTGGTAATGGGACAGATAAATGGATCATGGCAGATAGTCATGGGATAGAATAGAACATCTTGGGACACAGTGTTTGTGTCAGCTAGGCTGCATCGTATTACCATTCCTCAATACAAAGTTACATTAGCCAAAGGTAGATTTTTTTTTTATTTCCATACAAACTCAGTGTTACTCAACCGCATTCATTTAAATTGGTGACTGAACTGAGCAATACCTCAAAGGTAAGTAAAATTCTGAAGTAAGTCCATGCAATAAAAAGTAAATGCATCAGCAATTGCGCTGTATTAATATTATAGTAAATTGACTCATTCAGAATCTAATCTGAACACTGTGAAATCATCCATCAATCACTGGTTAAGGCTGAGGATGAATGACAAATTAAAGATTTTACTATGCCTTAGGCATAGTTTTACTCATTTTACTTTAATACCACTGTTAAGTGAACCATCTGGTTCACTTTTAATGAATTACAGTCAGATAAAAACTGTCCAGCCTCAAAATGTCCTGGCCCATAATATTCAAAAATGGCTGCCTGAGAACAGGGAAGTTTTCATGCCTCCAGGAAGAGGCATTTAAAGTGCATGCAAGACTGCAGCATTAGCTGCCTATATTTGAAATTCTGCTTGTTGTCACATACATAATTACTTTAAAAGGAGGGTGCTCTTTTTTTTTTCAGAGTAGCCACAATCAGGAGTAATCTCCTTCACATCCTTGCTGACAGAGCCCTCTGAAAACCTTACGCAATGGGTTGTCTTCAGCATGACAAAAAGATAAGTGAAAACTGTGCTCAAAGTATTTGTACCGGTGAGCTCTATTTTTTTTTTCCCCTGAGTGAATATATCTGCAGCATTTGTGTTCATGTCCAATAGATAGTATTGCTTCACTTTAAAACAATACTCCAGGAAATTTTTACCAGGGTTTTAAAAATTGAGTTGGGCCCATGCTACACCAATAGGAGTTACTTCAGCAAAGTACGTTGGAAGAATTTAAGGGTGTCTTTATTGTGCTTTGGCAATAAGATTATAAACTGAAATGGCATGAAAACATCAGGTCCAGTTGGCATTACGTTGTACAATTCATTATTGCATTGTAAAGTCACGGGCTATACTCCAAAATGTCATTCGAAATTACAAAAGAAGCAGTGTCACCGTGTTTGAACAGAGGTGAGGGATGGCAGGACCTGGCAGCCAGGTCCCATCCCACCACTCCAGCCAGGAGCTGGGCAGCCGGGGGGCACGGGGGCAGCCCCAGCCCTGGGCATCGGGCACCTCCGTGGGGACAGGCCACGGCCAGGGCAGGATGGGGACGTGGGCCTGTGGGTGGGCCTGGCTCAACAGGACCCACGGCTGGGCAGGGGCTGATGGCCCCGGGGGCTGACATGGGGTCCGGGCCGTGGGCAGGGTCAGGGGAGCCACGGGCCCGGGCAGGTGGTACCTCAGAGCCCTTTTCTAACAATGCTAAATTCACCTCCATATGAAACTATGAAACCGCAGTATCAAAACTGTATAATGAGAGTGAGATCCCATATATTTTGATAGCTTAAGGCTAAGTGTTAACTTTTTTGTCTGTTTAAATGGAATACATTAGACAGAAGTGTCTTGCTAGCATGTGTATTTGTAACAAAGTTGTACTGAAAATGTACTTTTATAGCTGTGGTAATTAAATTCCAAAAAACTGAAATTGCAGGCCGTGAATATTCTCTAGAATGAAATAACTTCCTTTCTCTACCTCACTCTATAACACTGATTTAAACA